CTGGCTTCAGAGTTGGCCACACCCACTACAGCCAAAACATCTGCGTGTGTGGCTACAGAGGGAAGGCCTGGAGAGCGACACCCCCCTGGTGACTCCAAGGCGGGCGGGCTAGGGGGCCCCTGGAAGGATCAGGGAGGCATTTAAATGCCTCCCTGTGCCTTCTCCGGCTTGTCGAAGGGCCAGCTTGCCTGGGCAAGCCAAGGGAAGGCATGGGGTGTGGCCTGTTATGCTAATGAGCTGTGTCATCACAGTTGCGGCCTAATATGCTAATGGGTTTCTGCTGTTGGGTGGGGCCCATTATGCTAATGAGTTCCTGCTGGGCTTTTTCTACAAAAAAAAGCCCTGGATTTAGCCATGGCTAACTTTCATTGGATTATGCCTAATGTATACATTGGGCAAAGATGGCTATAGTCTATAAGGTAAAGGTAAAAGTTCCCTTGCTCGAAAGCCAGTCGAATCCGACTCTAGGGTTGCGGTGCTCATCTCTGTTTCAAAGCCGAAGAGCCAGCGCTGTCCGAAGAGACGTTTCCGTGGTCATGTGGCCGGCATGACTAAACACCAGGGCGCACGGAACGCCTTGTCCTATAATCATAGTGTCCAGCAAAATGTTGCACCGATAAAGGGAATTTCTGCTGATATTTGGTTGGATCCTACAGGCCTCCTCTGCTACTTTCCTCTAAAGGATGAAAATTTCCCCTGTCTCTATGAAGCCTATTGAGCATTTTGCAACACAGAGAATGCTCCTTCCACTGGAGAAAAGCAGTCTACTAGCACAAGATATCAGGGGAGGGGGGCAATTATAAGAAGTGCACCTCAGCAAACTGAAACAATGGTGACTTCAGACATCCTTCGGTAGAGTTGGATGCATCGGAATGGCATGCACTTGAAGAAACCTGGAACAAAAAATGACAGGAAAGAAAATGTCAGGGACAAAAATTTCTTTTCAACATGGGGTTTACTAGTGGAGTTGTGTGTAGCAATAACTGATAATAGATATATTCAGTATAATATTATGTCTAAAATATGTTTAAATCAAAATGCCCTGCTGAGAAGCTTACAACCTATTTAAATAAAAAAGGAACAAGAAATGAGTAAGAATAAGAGAAAATAATCAAGATTAACAAACAAGGTAAGCCTTGGAGCACAGATAAGTCTTTAGGTGTTCAGAAAAGTAATAGACACAATTTTTGGTTTGATGAAAAGTACGCAAAGCGGTGAAACAACTGAAAGATAAGACAGAGCAATATCATGGACACATTTATAAGCTAAAGGAAGGATTTTAACCTGAAACCTACAGGGAAATGGAAACCAATTGAAAGCAGAGAGAAAGGAAGAAACATGTAAAATGAGAAGCATGAAAAGCTGAGGGCTACAGAATGTAAAATAAAAAGGATGAAGATAAGAAATGACTAAGTTAAATGTAAGAGCATAATTGATCCCTTGACGGAACGACCCAGTGTGTATCTGGAGCACCACGTGCTGGTTGACTTGGCCTTCCTGTGTGAGGTATTGCCCAACACAGTCTTCTTTTGGTCGAATTGGCTGGAACGGAGGTCATGGCGAGGAGCGGCTCATCCCGAAAAAGTGGACGTGGCACGGAGGAAGGTGTCTGGCAGACTGGGTAGGGTAGTTGAGTCCACAGGTGGTGTTTGGATCCACCACCCAAACAGCTCCCACCGTATGGAGGCCTTGGGGTGCACCTGTCAGCATGGGGTATGGACATGTGGCTGCAGGGGATACGCTATTCCCTCCTCTCTTGGCTACAGCTGTAGAGGCGTTGGCGGGAGCAGGACCAAGCGGTTGGTCCAGCTCTCGTGGCAGTGACAGCATGGGGCCGGATCCGTTTGGCGGAAATCGGCCTGCGTGCCATTTTCCGGAGGTGGGGACCCCTGTAAGGGTCTTGGCGTGAGGGCTGAAGGGAACAGGTTTATATTCATTACTGACAACAAAGCTAGTGGAGATGACAGTATTCCAGCTGAGCTATTCAAAGTCCTAAAAGATGCTGCTGCTAGAGTGCTACCAAATTTGGAAAACACAACAGTGGCCACAGGACTGGGAAAGGTCAGTTTACATTCCAAGCCCAAAGAAGGATAATGCCAAGGAATGTTCAAACAATCACACAATTACACTCATTTCATATGCTAGCAAGGTCATGCTCAAGATCCTACAAGCTAGGCTTCAGCAGTACGTAGATAGAGAACTGCCAGAAGTAAAAGCTGGGTTTTGAAGAAGCAGAGGAATGAGAGATCAAATTGCCAACATTCGCTGGGTTATGGAGAAAGCAAGGAAATACCAGAAAAACGTTTACTTCTGCATCATTGACTATGCTAAAACCTTTGAATGTGTGGATCACAACAAACTGTGGGAAGTCCTTAAAGAGATCGGAGTACCAGACTACCTCACATGTCTCCTGAGAAATGTGTATAAGGGCCAAGAAGCAACAGTTAGAACTGGATATGGAACAACTGATTGGCTTAGCATAGGAAAAAGAGTATGACAAGGATGTATATTGTCACCCTGCTTATTTAATTTATATGCAGAGTACATCATGTGAAATGCCGGCCTGGAAGAATCACAAGCCGGAATTAAGATTGCCAGGAAAAACTTCAACAACCTCAGATATGCAAACGATACCACTCTAATGGCAGAAAGTGAAGAGGACTTAAAGAGCCTCTTGCTACGGGTGAAAGAGGAGAGTGCAAAAGTTGGCTTGAAACTCAACTTCAAAAAAACTAAGATCGTGGCATCTGGCCCCATCAATCCTTGCCAAAAAAAAAAAATCCTTGGCAAATAGAAGGGGAAGTCATGGAAGTAATGACAGAATTCACATTCCTAGTATCCAAGATCACTGCAGACGGTGACTGCAGCCATGAAATTAAAAGATGCCTGCTCCTTGGGAGGAAAGCAATGGCAAACCTTGACAGCATAATACAAAGTAGAGACATCACCCTGCCAACCAAAATCTCTATTGCCAAAGTGATGGTAGTAATGTATGGCTGCGAGAGTTGGACCATAATGAAGGCAAAGTGCCAAAGAATAGATGCTTTTGAATTATGGTGCTGGAGAAGACTCTTGAGAGTCCCTTGGACTGCAAGGAGATCAAATCAGTCAATCCTAAAAGTAATCAACCCTGACTGTTCCCTGGAAGGCCACATACTGAAGCTGAAGCTCAAATACTTTGGCCACCAAATGAGAAGGGAACACTCAATGGAGAAGACTCTGATGCTGAGAATGACTGAAGGTAAAAGAAGAAGGGGACCGCAAAGGATGAGATGGTTAGACAATGATATCAATTTCAAACTGAGCAAAGTTTGGAGGATGGCAGAAGACAGGAGGGTCTGGCGTGATGTGGTCCATGGGGTAGTGAAGAGTCGGACTCGACTGTGTGACTGAACAAAAACAACATCAAACGCTGTATTATCTCATATATCATAGTTCTCATGTAGGAAGAAAGATAATTGTTTACCTCTTGTGCAGTCAAGGCATGTTCTCCTGCTAACAGTAGCATACTGAGGCCTCCCATTTGTGTAGGATCTATCAGAGAAAGAAGAAATATATATTACTCAGTCACAATTTCAAAGTGGGCTTAATTGTGTCAATTGGCGATCAATATTGATAAGAATTATAGGCTTGGATCCAACTGAGTATTTCCACCTGCACTTTATCACACTTCTTCCCTCCCACTACACGTCCAAAATTCATGAGGTTTCCTGTACCTCCGGAACACCATTTTGGGGGCCATTTTGGGTTACTTTGAGAGAGAGAAAGGTGAGAATGTTGAGCTCTGGGGGCAGAAACCATTTTGTCATAGAAATGCCTGGCTGGATCCAAGTCATAGAAATCACCACCCTTTTTAGTTTGACCTGTCTCTTCCATCCACTTTCTACTTTTCTACCTTCAGAACTGCATGTGCTTTGGCCATCTGCTTCAATCAGCAGGTGTTACATACTCTGGAAATACCTTTTACGAAGACAGTTTCAGAGAGCAGCCATGTTGGTCCTCAGTAGAACAGTTAGATTCAAGTCCAGTAGTACCTTAGAGACGAACAAGACTTTCAGAATATGTCTGATTAAGGGAGCTTTGACTCCCAAAAGTTTATACTCTGAAAATCTTGTTGGTCTCTAAGGTGCTACTGGACTTGAATCTAACTGGAAGGTCCTTGTACATCTTTTCTATTATTACATTCTGATATATACCTTTGTATGGATCAATATGTAGGCAACAAATGTGTGAAGGGTGAGCCTTATCATCAGTATATTTGCTCCAGATCTCCAATTGTGCAGTCATGAGAAAGGAAGGAAAAAGCACCTTTGCCTGCCTGCCAAGCTACGCCATGGACATCACTATCCACCAGCCTTGGGTGCACCGGCCCTTCAGCTTCTCTCTGCTCCTGCAGGGGCCTCTTTGATCAGAGGTTCGGCGAGGGGCTGCCAGAATCCGAATTGTTCTCTGGCATGAACACACTCAGCCCTTACTACATGCGGGTGCCTCATATCCCGGTGCCGCATATCCTGGACACCAGGCTCTCAGAGATGAAGATGGATAAAGACAAGTTCTCAGTCCACTTGGATGTGAAACACTGTTCACCAGAGCAGCTGAATGTGAAAGTTGTGGGGAACCATATTGAAGTGCATGCCAAACATGAGAAGCACCTGGATGAACATGGCTATATTTCCTGGGAGTTCCACCGGTGCTACATGATCCCTAAGGGGGTTGACCCAGCTTCAGTCACTTCAGCACTGTCTCCAGACAGGGTACTCTCCATCACAGCTCCCGTTTCCTAGGGTGCCATTCCACAGCAGTGCATCATTCCCATCAGCCGCCAGGATAAACCCATGGTTGCTGGAAAGTAGTTGGGGTATCTGTCTGGGCCCGAAAACTTGCTCTTGTTCCCCTTTGAAGCCAGCATTGTGGGCTGTTTCTCCCCTCAACAGTAGCCAGTCAGCCTAAGACTTTAAGAAATCCACGTTTTGCTCTCTCTGTCCTACTGGGGGGCCTGGCAGCAGAAGCTCAGTTACCACCCCCCAATGATCTTTGAGGGAACATTCCTAGAACTTGAGAAGCTGTCCCCCAGGAGTAGGAGATCATGTCTCTTCTTGGGTGGCCGTATCCCTCTGCTACAGGCTTAACTTGTTCATGCTGAACTGTTTGCTCTCCATAAATATTGGATACCAAGTTGCATTTCCTTAAAGTCATTGTGAAACTTAATATGGATACTCAGTTAATGAAATCGAGGATAATGCCAAAAAGTATATCTAATTTTCAAGATGACCCCCCTATATCTGTGGATACTTAAACCCAGAGACTGGGAATACATGACCTATCTTTCCACAACTCCTGAACAGTTCCAAATTTTCAGAAAAATCTGAAATCTAAAAAAAAAGGTACTTTGGCCCCAGTCACACGGGCTGAAAAACACTGGGGGGGGAGGTGTAGCGATAAGGCGTGTCGGCGGCAACCCACGGTTCTGGCCCTCGGTGTATGCACTGCAACGCAGACAGCCAGAGGGGAAAAGCCGCGCCGGCGCGATCACACCACAGGAGTCTGGAGGCAGCCCGTGCCACCACCTTTGTTGAGATATTTTTTAAATTTTTGGCGGCATGCCACGGGTTAGCCACGGGTGTGCTCCACTTCCCAGATGTTGTGGTGTGATCGCGGCTGGAAAATCCGCCATCCACTCGTGGCTCCCCTGTGGCAAATTCGCCGTGTGACCGGAGCCCTTGAGAGGTTAACACGCCCAATAATAGAAACAGCACCAGTAGCAAATGCCCTCTCAGTGACCATTGTTGCTGTTGTTAAGTAATCATAACAGTATTGCCAGCCTTGCCAACTTTTAGTCCTTAGTTTCTGTCAGTAACAGGCATGAGCAGGGAACAGCACCCTTTGCTGCCAACTTTCAGTCCTTAGTTTCTGTCAGTAACAGGCATTTGAGGGTCCAGCCCCACCAGCAATGACTGTGCAACTTGCTACTATCCACCCTGCATGACTCACTCAGGCTCGGGTGCTTCCTACTGTTCAGCAGCTGCCACCTCACAAAAGTCAGTGTGGTACAGTGATTAGAGTTCCATACTAGGATCTAGAAGATCTCAGTATAAAAACCATGGTGTTTTGTGCTCACCAACAAGCCACAGTTTGTACCCACCAAGGAGCATTCAGACATTATACTAAGCTGACTTATCATCAAATCATGATTCATAAACTGTAGTTGAACATGATGTTTGAATGCATCCACAGACTTACTAGGGCATGGTTTTGAATTATGGCACTATAAAATGTTTTTCTTTTAGTAAATGCCAAGGACAACAGATATTTGTCTTCTTAGTTAGAATGTGCCATAGACAAAGAAAAGAACAAAGAACCATGAAAGAGACATATTCTTCATAATACAGACTGATATTGTACTTATTCCAAACATGCATGCAGTCTCCATTAGAGCTGAGAAAAGAGCTTGTTGTTTGCTTTTTAAAGAAAGGCCTATTCGTCTAAGCCTATTTAACAAAAAAAGCTGTTAGAAAGGCATACTAGAAAAGGCAGCATGGGGCAGATGGAAGAGAGGACAGAATACATGGATGCTTACTGAAGATAAAGAATAAATCCTAATGGAGATAAGTCAGAAAAGATGAGAAATTGAATATATATGCAAATGAATTTTTAAACTTCGTATCTTTCTCTTATGTGCTATTGATGGCATTAAAATATAACTCCCCCCCCCGAAAAAAACAATTTACAATTCAAAGTGCAATTTAAAAACATTTCAAGGTATTTAATGATACTAAAATGTATTTATGTAAGCCTACATTCCATTAGGTATATACAATTTACTCAGAAACTTAACACTCTTAAATATTAACAGTGAAAGAAAAATTGTTTTGTGAACTATTACCACAACTTTTGCTAGTATTACAGTTAACAATATTTTCAATGTGTGGAAATGGAAGGAAATGCTCATCACAAGGAGTTGTAAAGAATAGCTTGCTGAAACAGAAAAGAGTTTCAGAGTGTGGCAGTGTAGCTCTTATTTTTCTGGAAAAAGGGGATTTGGACAGTAACGCATACTACTGACTAAAAAAACCACTCTCAACACCATACATATGTTATTTTTTTATTTCATAGAGACTGCATATTACCATAAGAAAAACCAACCAGCTCAACCATTTGCTTGAATAAATAGAAGTTTTAATACACTTCATCACGTGCCAGGTTTAATACATATTTAGACCTGAGGGGAAAAATTCCATACTCTTTACCTGGAATAGAATGATAATCCTTCATTGTAAATATATAAATAGAAGTATGCATACTAACAAATTACAATAACAATGTATAATACAAGTAATTAAATATGAAGCTGTTCAAATTTTAGAGAACTGTAGCACTAAATAGCTTCAATTTTCCTAGTACCATCCATTGTGGGTATTATGTTGTGCACCACCATAATGCACTACCCTAGGATCATAATATCAGTGTCATAATACAATATATGATAGTATACCATATGGTATTATGAAACTGATGTGTACTCCCATTGATCTCAGTGTGTTGCATTGTAGTATTATCAAACAGAAACAAATCCTTGATAAATAGCTTCAAACATTACTAAAAGCCAGAGATTAGAGTCCTGTCCAAATATCACAGTACATATGTTTTCTTTGTAAATGTATTAAGTAACACTTTTGTTACAGACAACACATGTATAGCTGAATATGCAATTTAAATCCTACTTCTATCCAAACTCTGGTCCTCATTTGGGGTGTGTGTGTGTTTGTTTTTAAAGGTAGCACATGCTGTCTTTTTCTTACAAAGAGGTATGTCTGATGAAGGAAGGACATAAGCAGATTCATTGTAACATGTATCAGACTCAGGATATCTAAAGCTCACCTGCCATTGCAAAGTTCAGCTGAGGCATATCTTCAGTCTTCACCAACTTTTTTGGACTTGGCAAATCCTTTGCCGGTTCTGATGGGAAAGCCCACAGCTTTTTCCGGTTAGTAACAGTGGATGACTGAGTTTTCACAGGTTTGTTTGTAGGTGGGCACCACTTATAGCCAGGATTTGCTTTCATAAATGCATCCTTATACTACAAGAAGAAAGGTTATTTGTGTTAATGAATCTCTGTATGAATCTACATAAATAACAAACTAGGGATATTGCCTTTTATTCCTTACTGTGGTATTTTACATCTACGACTGATCTACATATTCTGTTTGATCTAAATGACAACGTTTGAAAAGTAAGATGTAAAAATTCTGTTTTTCCTTCTTACTAAGGTTCACCATCCTCAACAAATTTCAGCACAGGTCTTTTCATGAGTCATCCTGTAACTTCACAGAAACTCTTCAATATTTACATTACATTAGACAAGGAAGCCTGAGAGGGAGTGGGGGGAAAGGAATCTCCCCAACAGTATAACACCGCTGAGCTTTGGGCTATATTGACAGTTTCTAATCTATATGACCACTGCTCTGACTGCTAAGGCTTGGGGCTAGGTGAGCATGAAAATACTAATTAAGTTGTAAAGTTGAGTGATGCAATATAGTATGAAGGTATGTTTACTATGCAGCATGAGAAAATTGGGGGGGAAGGGCAAGCTAAGGAAATGATTCCATGATTCCAATTCCACCCCTTCCATTCTTAATTAATCCTCTTCCTAGGGTTTTTCGACTTTCCAAGTTGTCACAGAGCCTTTCAGTTTACAGCATCTTGGACTGGCTAGGGTAGGGAGATCAGGGCAAAGGTATGGCACATATATCCAGACCCTTATTCTACTCACCAGGGTATTATTAACCTTTATGATCAATTTTCCCATTTCCACCTGTTTCCTCCCCCCCCCCTTTAACATCTAATTCCACACAGCCCATAGCTCCAAGAGGGAGAGCAAACAGTATGTTGAATGACTGTTGGACCTTTGGGATAAGACACTTTATTAAAAAACTAATATTTTTCTGCATATCTGTAGAGCCCCATAAGAATGCAAAAACTCCTATTTTGTCTGTCAGTGATGCTGTTTTGTTACCATTTTTTTTGTTAACCATGCACAGCACAATACATGTTCTGCAAACAGAAATTGGAGAAGACACATCCCCACATTTATTTATTTCCCTCTATTATTACAAAAAGGAAAAGAGAGGCCTCTCTTTTATTTTCTTTGTAATATACAAATACCTTTACAAAAAGCTTTAATGCAAATAATGGATAGGCAAAATAAACAAATTTATATTAAATAAATGTATGCAGCAAAACCTCTCTTTACATTGTTTGTTGCTCTTGCAACAAAAACTAACATTTTTGTTACTTTTCCTCTGTACTGCAAATATATAGGTTTATGAATTTGCTTCTATGGACTGTCAAATAATTCCACACAAAAAAGTCTTGAAATACCAATGAAAAATATCCTCCTGTACTACACCAAGTAAAAGTGAAAGTTAATTCATAATAGATAGGTGAATCTCTAGCACAAGAGATCCTAGTTAATATGACCATGAAATACGAAATGAGAAGGTTTGCTACTTTTAATTATTATTTGTAAATCATAATTTTATTTTATAATTTAATTATTATTGGTTGCTTTCAATTATTATTTAATGTTCTATTAAGTGATCAGAAACACAGGCATTTGAATTGCCCATTTGGAAGTATACCAAATACAGTATTAGTAAAATAACAACTTTACCTTTGCCTCCATTTTATTCTAGGCCTCACCTAAAGGTTAGTTAATAAACCTTAAATTATCACAACTTGGTCTTTAAGGTCATTTAAAAGTACAACTATCTACCATTTCTACCCAAGACTGTAAAAACTTGTGATCGAGAAACCAATGAAAATGGCACAAGCTTGAAAACCTTGGATTTGCTCTAAGAACTTTGTTAGCAATCTATCAAATAAGAGACCTGAGAACTCCTTCAGGAACTGCCTTAAACAATCACTGCCAGACTGTGTAAAATTAATGCTCTACAATCTGTACAGATGCGCTACAATCTTCATAGTATATTTTACATGGGGAGGGGGGGCAGAGATCCGGGAGAAAAATTGAAATGAAAAATAAGGCCATGGCTACTTAACAGAAGTTCTGACCACAGAGGTCCTTGGTATTCCTAGAACCTGGAATAGGACCTGGAAGTGTATGTGACTATTACCATCTTCGGAGACCATCTTGTTAGTATGGAGCACTTTATTCTTGTTTTGTTTTTATTTAATGGTTTTACTGTTTTATCATGTTTTTATGTATGGGCTTGTGCCCTCTTGTAAGCCGCCCTGAGCCCGCTCGCGGGGAGGGCAAGGTAAAAATGTTAACAATAAATAAATATAAATAAAAATATTAGTAGTTACTTAAAAGTTACAACTTATAATTAACTCACATCCAGCCACATCCACTAAGTTCTGCCTACAGCCAGGGAATTTGAGTGGAGTGGTGATTGGAGAGTGTTGCAGCTTTGGCGTCTACAGTGTTTGAAGTTTCATATTGTGTACTGTGGATGTGAATTTGAAAGGAACACTGAAGACCTGAAGGGTTAAAGTCAGAACTGGCCTTTGGTAGGATTTCTGAGAGTGGCTGAAGTCTATTGTATGTGCTTGGTTTTCTGATTACTCTCCTTGAAGTGCAATGGGTGCCCATTAACGTCCAAGAGACTCGACAGAGACGGCGCCCCCTAGGAACTCCAAGCAAAGCAGAATTGATGACTTTTTAGCATTGCCTGATTCTTCAGTATTTAATATCCCCATTACTAATAGGTTTTCAGTTCTTGAAGAAACACCTGATTTAGAAACCTCTCATGTTGGTATTTCTTCTGTGGTTCATGAACAGCCAGGTAATTGTCCTCTATTGAGTGGGACTTCCCCAGACACTCAGGAGAGGGGGTGTGAGGGAGCTGATGTGGATATGGTTGCGAATGACATGGTTACTGAACTTTCTTGTTTGACAGCAAGGACACATGAATATTGTCTTTGGACAACTGAAACTAATTCTTATTACATTAGATCAGCTTATTGATGCAGGAGCAAATCTAGTTATAATAAGCCTGTACCAGCCAAGCTGGTAGTTCTATCACAATACAGCGCAAACAAACGGCAGCAAGTACATTCGGTAAATGCACCAAATACTAGTCAACTGGTGCTACAGACTCGCCAGATCTGTCTTACTGTACTACTGAATGCTGGGACTCCTTTGTTAAATTCTAAATTTGCCATAGTTCAGTTTCTAAAAGTGAATTTAAGGATTAAGGGGTCATCTATTATTTTGAGATCATTTGGAATTTTAAATAACTCTTCTACAATAAGAAGATTATTGCTATCATTTGATGGCCCAGCCGTTCCGACTCTGATTATGCAAAGGAAAGATTTACTGAACTCTTGGGGTATTTTTCTTTCCAGAGTTTTAAAGAATATCTTACATACCTCTCTTTTTAGCTCAGAATTCTCAGCTGATAAGGATGAGTAGGTCACCAAGGGTAAACCTTGAGACCCTGATAGCTGTATGGAATATGATCTTATCACATGGAATGACCTTCCCAAGCATCCAGAATTAGATTAGGCGATTCGCCAACTATCCAAGCTACAGAGTTAGATTTAATTAATTCATTTAGGATGCTTCCAACAATAGAAGAAAAGTCAATTACTGATGGGCCTGAGCACCTGAGGAACAAATTGTTGGAAATTGATTAATCTCAGAAGCCTGTTCTACTTTCCCCAATAGCTACTTTAGCTTATATAGAAGTTCCACGGCAGATGCGGTCAGTTGTAGAATTAGATAAATCAAAGGATGCTACCCTTAGTAGTAGTGACTGGCTTACCCCTAACATGGATTATATTCCCTCTCAACATCAAATTAAGTCTGATCTCCTGACTGGGGGGCAATTTAACTGCTATCTGGAGGAGCATGAGATCAGGACAACAGGCCCCCTTCCTGTTGGCCCTGTACAGTTCCCCAAATTAGTATCAACTCATATGTACAAGAACAGTTCAATCTTAGTAGATTCAAATGAGTTAGATAAAATAGAGAAATTAAATTAACTATTTGAAACCCAGAGTGAATATTATTTAAAGTGTATTTCTTAGAATATGTCAGATTGGAATAACAAAATTCAGGACCCTTCTTTCCTGCAGTTTATAAGAGGGTTTGATATAATCTTCCTCCAAGAGTCTTGGTTAACATCAAAATTGATGTTACTCACTTAATGCCATGCCTTTGGCTGCTAAAGGACATCCTAGTGGTGGGTTGGCATGATTGATTTCAACCTCACTGAAGTGTGATGTGATACCTCTCCCTTTTTTGACGCTTTTAGCGAAGGCCTGTCTTTTGATGTTTAAAGATCAGACTATTCTGGCAGTAAATATATATCCCTCCTTATTCTTCTGTTTTCTGTCATGAGACCTGTTGGATAGATTTGGAAAATTATATATGTGATCTTGAAGATAAATATCCTAAGGTACAATTAATTTCCCCCCTCATGGATCACTGCCTTGTCGTGGCGAGGGGGCTTGTGTAGTTCAATGAAGCTGTGGGCTATGCCGTGAAGGGCCACCCAAGACGGACAGGCCACAGCAGAGAACTCAGACCAAGAGTGATCCCCCTGGAGAAGGAAATGGCAACCCACTCCAGTATTTTTGCCAAGAAAACCCCATGGACAGTATCAAAAGGCTAAGAGATATGACGGCGGAAGATGAGCCCCTCAGGTCGGAAGGTGTCCAATATGCTACCGAGGAAGAGCAGAGGGCAAGTACAAGTAAGGGTGAAGCGGCTGGGCCAAAGCCAAAAGAACAATCAGTTGTGGATGTGTCTGATGGTGAAAGGAAAGTCCGATGCGGCAAAGAACAATACTGCATAGGAACCTGGAATGTAAGTTCTATGAATCAAGGTAAGCTTGACGTGGTCAAAAATGAGATGGCAAGACTGAACATCGATATCTTAAGAATCAGTGAACTAAAGTGGACAGGAATGGGCGAATTTAACTCAAAAGACCATTATATCTACTACTGTGGTCAGGAATCTCATAGAAAAAATGGTGTGGCCTTTATAGTCAACAAGAGAGTGCAAAAGTCAGTACTAGGATACAATCTAAAAAATGACAGAATGATTTCTGT